CGATTGTAAGATTTTGTATCACCCAGATAAGGGCAATGTGGTAGCTGACCCACTCAGGAGAAAAAGTGCAGATATATTGGCTCACCTAATGGTTTCTGAATGCAGGGTAATAGGAGCTGCACAACAAATACGGCTTCAGGACTTGAAGATGATTACATGTCTAACCCATCTGACAGTCCAACCCGAACTTATTTAGAGAATAAAGGAAGTCTAATTGACCAACTCCACCCTAACAGCTCTCAGGAAGGATACAGAACAGGGAGTAAGTCAAGAATTCCGAGTCTCTGCCGATGAGTTACTCAGCTTTCAGAATATGGTGTGTTTTTCATATGACAGTGAACTGAAAAGAAACATCATGACAAAGCTTAATAACTCAAAGTTCACCATGTATTCCGGAAGTAGTAACATGTATCAAAGTATGTGATCCCGTTTTTTGTGGAGCGAGATGAAAAAAGAGCGCCGATTTCGTCTCCAAATGCCTTGTATGTCAACACGTTAAGGTCATCAACGCTCAGGTGAACTACTTCAGTCATTGTCGATCCCGAAGTGGAAATGGAAACATATCACCATGGATTTTGTGACAGGGCTGCCAAAGGCACACTCGAGATACGATGTTGTATGGATAATTGTTGACCAACTCACCAAATTCTCTCACTTCTTGGCTATCAAGATGTCCGACCCCTTAAACAAGTTAGTCAAAATTTATATCCGGAAGATATTAAGGCTACATGGAGTTCCGATGATAGTGGTATCCGACAGAGACCCCAGGTTTATCTCTCGGTTTTGATCTACTTTTCAGCTAGCAATGAGAATGAAACTGTCACTCAGCACCGCAATTCACCCTCAAATCGATAAACAATCAGAACAGACGATTCGCATACTAAAGGATATGCTCCGAACTTGCATTCTAAATTTCGAAAGCCATTGGGATGATCACCTACCTTTGATAGAGTTTGCCTACAATAACAGCTATCAAGTAAGTATCGGCATAGCCCCGTATAAGGCATTGTATGGCCGCCCATATAGATCGCCGATCTGTTGAGAAGAAGTGTGTGATAAAAAATTGTTTGACCCGAATCTTGTAGAAGATATTACAGCCAAGATAGTTAAAATCAGGAAGAACATCCAGACAGCTCGGAATAGACAGAAGAGTTATGCGGACACCCGGATAAGATATTTAGAATTTGAGAAAGGTGATCGAGTGTTTCTTAAGGTCACCCCTTTCAAGTGAATCAGTAAGTTTGGTAAAATGGAGAAATTAAATCCTATATTTATCGGACCGTTTGAAATCTTAAACAGGATTAGTACGTTCACCTGCAGACTAGCACTACCTCCAGAGTTATATAGAGTCCATAATATGGTTCATGTGTCTATGCTACGCAAGTATAATCCGAACCTCTCTCATATCCTGTCTCACGATCCCCTCTCACTCCAGAAGGATCTATATTATGAGTAAGTACTGGTAGATATTGTGGATCAGAAGAGCAGAGAATTTGACAAAAGAGAAATTCCCTTCGTCAAGATCCTATAACGGAATCACACACAGGAAGAAACCACTTGGGAGCTAGAATCGGACTTTTGAGTCCAGTACCCACAACTGTTTGACTAAGTGAGAGAGAGCAAATTTGATAGACCAAATTTTTTCTTAAGGGGGGAAGTTGTAATACTCGGATTCGGAAATTGATTCGGGATAATTTTTCTCACTTACAAAATATATATAAATAATTAAAAAAATTATTTTAATTTAAATTTTATTAAATTTTTGAGAAAAATGATTTATGAACAAAATTAAAAGCAATTTTGAAAAAAAAGTGGTGAAATTAAGAATAAGATTAATGTTTTTGAAAGAAAATTTGAAAACATAGGGTAAAATCGCAAAAATGAGGAGTTTGGCCACGTGGGATGGCTCAATCAGCAATCACGGCGAATCAGAGTACGCCACGTGGCAAACACGCTAACATCGACACCACACGGGAGACCACGCGGGCAATTTGCGTGTCTGACGATCCGACAGTGTCGATCACATCCCGCGCGCACGGATGGCCCAAATGGATTTCCTCTTCAAGCGCGACCAAACAGATGGGGTTAATCGCGATGAACACCCCAGATTCGTCCATGCAATCAGCCTAAATGGAAAATCATCGAACGGTCCTCCTCACTCCACGTTGACTCAACAAACGGTCTGAATCGAATGGAGATGAGTATTTAACTCCTCTTCGCAGAAATCAAACCCTAGCCTACAGAGAAATGATCGGAGAAGAAGAAGAAGAGCGGTCGGGGAAAAAACCAGACGCCGGAGAAGGAGGCCAACCACCATTGCTGCCGCACTGAAGCCACCGCCGACGCCAAAACAAACATTTTTTTTTCCCTTTCCCACTCGAAATTCGATCTCGAGTCTCCCTATGCCCAAATCGGAGCCAAAGGATCGATGGGTAAGTCAAAAACCGCGGGCAAAGCTCACTCGAGCCGCCGCGGCCAAAACTCAAAACCCTTTCCGATGACCCCCTTCCCGTTTCTCGTTTCCTATTTCACGTTATTTTTTTACTACCATGTTCGTCGTCCTTTTCTGGTGCATGTTAACCAAAGAAGAACCCTACCCGCGAAAAAGAACTAGCGAAGCCACCACACCTGGAGACCCCCTTTTCCGATAGGTTTTGGTTTTTTGCATTTTCCGGCCAACTGAGGATCCCTAACGTGTTTTTTCGCAGGGTTATGTGTCAAACCCGCCAACACCAGCCTAAAACGGCTGGAATTGGACAGACCGAGGCAAACCGTTGTCGTAGATAGCGAAAGCAGCTCCGCCGTGCCGGAACCCTAAAATTTACAAGAAAAGTTTTAAAACATCTATTCTGTTCTTTCGATGTATTTTTGGATACTTGACAGGTGTTTTAATTTTCAAAGGAAAAATTTAAGAAACCTGAGTACCATCAGGAGGCGCAGCAGATAATACGATGTTTCGAACACCGATTCGGGTTAAGAATCCTTCACCCTATTCCCTATTACGTAAATTGAAGCTTAATAATCGATAATACTATATTTTGTGAAAATTATAAAACCTTAAGAATAATTACAGGTCACTAATGGAACCGGAACCGGTCAATTCATATTTGCCCTAGTTTACTGTTTATTTTTTATGTACTGCTTAAAATGCTTACTATTATGTTGTGTGTACTAAATTAATAGTTTTCATTATTTTCTCGGTTATTTGGTTTACCTCACTGCATATTATCCATTTGTTAGTTTGTTTTGCAATAAATGTCTCAATTATGTTTCTTAATGTACGTATCGCCTATTTGCATGACTTATTATTGATCTGTAAATATAAAATATTAGTATGTAACTGATAATCGGTTTGTGATGTGATTCTAGGTAAGAAACGCTTACTGGGTACTCTGGGAAAAGATGGACGGACTCGGTACATAAAGAACCCTATTGTGGATATTATCTCAGTCGGATGAGGCTAAGAAGTCCTATACCGGAAAAGTTTGGGAGATATGGTTCACCCTAATACAAGACAGGATATCAAGACAATTGTGTGCTTGGTGCCCATTACCGGACGGGGTATGAGAACGGCCGAGTTAATTGATAAATTTAGATATTAGGTTTACGAGTAGGGAAAAATCCTTATAAACCCCCAGAGGTTATAGTAAGCAGGTAAAAAGAAAAATTGTCCTTCCTGCTCACTTGTATATGAAATCATAATATTATGTGAGTATTTGTTTTTATAAGTTGATTTTGAAAAACTCATAACGGTAAGTATGAAATAAACGGTTTGAAATTAAATAAATTTACTTAAATTAAGGGTTCTATCAGTTGTTTTATGATTTTTACTAACCTTCGGTTTCCATATCAATGATTAGTGTGATATTTTTACTAATTTAGTGTAGTTCACCCTTCTATTAACCATTTCAGATCAAGAATATCAGGACCTAGATCCTGATCAATAGAAGGGTTGTGAGTAGATTACCTCGCGGACCCCATCAAGTACTAGTGGAGGTGAACCCGCTAATATATTTATTTACTTGTTTTTAATCATTTACTCGTTTCTTTTTATAAACCGTTGTAGAAGCAATATTTCCGTAACTCTATTGAGCATTCTAATTTACTATGTAACGAATGTAAATTCTAACATTATTATTTACTTTCACATTTAAGTATGAATTCGTTTTCTTTAAAATTCGAGTCTTTACACATGGCTAATGTAGTCCAAAAAGGATTTATATGTGTAAAGTCTGAGGAATCTAAATCAGGGTCAAAGATGACTCCCTACTGGCAACAAGCCCCCTCACTGGAGGATCGACCTTTCAGAAAATAGAGAGACAAAGAGTGGAAAAAAAAACATGAACAGTAGTACCCTTTACATTAATCATTTTTAATTTTTATAAATTATTTAAATAAATTTTATTTCAAAATAAAATAATAATAGTTCAAATTTAATAATTATATTGAATAAAATAAATTAATTAAAATTAAAATATATTTTTAATTAATATTTTTATTATATTTATTATAAATTTTTTAAATAAATTACATTTAAAAATTAAATAATGATGATTTAAAATTAAAATGTATATTGAACAAAGCAAATTAATTAAACTAAATATATATCTTATTAGAATACTTTTAATAAGATTATTCACTATTAACTAAATAATTATAATAATTATGTTTTTATTATTAGGTATCTTTTAGTATTTTAATATTTATCACAAATTGATATTTTTTGTTTTCCTAAGATATTTTAAAAAATACACTGCAAATTAAATTATTTAAAGAAAAAAGAAAGGAATGCTCACATTTTGACGCTATCTTTTGTTTTCCTTCCACTTTCCTCAATTCGAAAATAGGTTATTACGTTCTTTTCATTTTACATGATTTCCACTCTTGTTTACTGATTGCATCTTAAAGTATTCATGCTTGAAATGAATTTACTGATTTCATACTCCAAAAAAAATAATAATTAAAAGAACATATTTAAAAGAACGATAGAATTGACTCACATTGGTGTTCGGGTTTGATCAAGCAGGGGTCATCAACGCCGTCGAGAATAGAGCAGAGGCGAGAGCTGAGAGAATCAACGGTGGCCAAGACTTGAGAGAAAGTGAAGCACTGGTCTCCTTCGTACGCCGGAGGATTAGAAGGAGGACCGTTGATTTGAGCCGCACTTGACGCATGTATCACTGCGATTTTGTTAGGGAATTTAGTTGCGGCATTTAAGAACTCATGTGATATACAGCAGTGCTCCTGCTTCCAATTCTGCTTCTGAATCTTCTCTTCCATTTTTTCACCACTGATTTCAGCCTCTGTTCGTTTTCTCTGAATCAAATACCTCCGGCGGCCGGCGGATAGTGACGGAGCCGACAGAAGGAGGTAGAGCCTGGTTAAGTCTGGAGGAGAACTTTAGGGGTTAGCCTGGGAGGGACTAATGACTAAACTGGCCGGGGTTCTGCTCAACTAAGTTTTTTAAACTAAAATCAGAATTGTTTTTCTCTTTTTTAATAAAATATATTATAATTTAACTTTTAATAATAGTATTATAATTTTTTAAATAAATTTTTTATTTTCTAAATTAAATAAATATATTATGAAACTAGTATTTATATGTAAACAAATAAGGAAAATAATTAAATCAAAAACTGTTTCAAAAATAACCTAAATTACTAAGAATTTTTTAGAAAAATTTTTAATATTTTAAATAATTAATTTTTTCTTATTATATAATCTTTTATTACTTCAACATTTGTTACTAATTTTATAAATATTAATCAAATATAATATTATATTTTATATTAACATTATTTCTTACAGCAGCCTTTATGAAACATTAACTACTAAGTTTTACACTATTACATACCTCAAGATACAAATATCAAATTGGAATAAATAAACTTCCAAGTATTTGCATTGATATATATATATATATATATATATATACACATGTATAATAGTTTCTTTTTGGTTTATCTATTGGTTTAAGTACATTATTTATATATGCCTATGAATACATACCTACTTGTTGTAACACCCTATATCTAAAAAAATTTTAGTCTAAAATAATTTAATATTAATAAAAAAATATTTTTAAAATATTTTAATTTTAATTTTTATGAAATTTTGAAAAAAAATTAAATTTTAGATGCAATTAAAAATATTTTCAAAAATTATGATCAAAGTATAAATAAGGGAGAACTTTTTTGAAAAGAAATATAAAAAACTAGAGTAAAAACTTAACTTTCAAAAGTTCGGCCACGTGGACCGCCACATCAACAGCGCAGCCAGTCCTTGTGTGCCGTGTGGCAGACACATTGACACGCATCCACGTGAGAGGTCCCGCAGGCAATCTGCGTGCCAACTGATCCAATGGCTCAGATCGCATCTCGCACACACGGACGACTCAGATGCATTTTCTCTTCAAGTGCGATCGAATGGCAGGATTTGATCAAATTGTTCGGTCCATATTAATTTTTCAAATAAGAGGGATCCAACAGCTGAGGATGGGTCATATAGCCTTGAATAGACGTCCCAAATTTAATAAAGATGAGTATTTAAATCCCTTTTCGGAGGGAACCAAAACTTTAACCAACAGATGGGTAATCAGAGAAGAAGAAAGGGGGTGGCCAGAAAGTGAACAACACGCTAGAGAAGAAGACCAGCCACTATTGTCAGTGCACTGGAGCCACCACTGATGCCGAAAAGGTAAGATTTTTCTCCCTTATGCTCGAAATTGAATCTTGAATCCCTCCATGCCCATATCGAAGCTGAAAGGACAACGAGTGAGCCGAAAAATACGAGTGGAGCTTAGTCGAACCACTACGGTTGAAACCCAAAACCTCATCTGATGAGTCCCTTCCCATTTTTAGTTTCCCTCGATTTTTTTACCATTGTGATCCTTGTTTCTTTCTGGTGTATGTTAGCCGAAGAAAAATTCCGACCACAAAGGAGAAATGGCAGAGCCACTTACCAGGAGACCCTTTGTCAGTAGGAGGGTCTCGATTTTTTCCTTTTTCGGTTGACAGAAGCT